CCCCAAAACCCCAAAACCCCAAAACCCCAAAACCCCAGAAAATCCATTTAAAATTGAATTTAAGAATGTTTTTATTATTTATTGGAATTACGAAGGAAACATTTAGCGGCCTTTTTGAAATTAGTACGTTTTTGTGGCGACTACGATGGTTTCGTGGATAAGATAGGGAAACCAGCTGAGAAAGTAGGTTAGTATTAAGAATATCATGAATCCAAAGTAATTGGCTTCTTGGCTGTTTGCTTTTGTATGATAGAAATCTTTACTGGAGACTATATGAGTTAGCCAAGCAGTTGTGAAGATCAGTCCCATTTAAAGGATCATTCTAAAGTACAATGATATAAATACCGTATTTATACATCTTCCTCAATTCATCATCCCTATACCACCCTAACACATGAACCCATCGACGAATGAACAACACTACCAGCACCCACCCCCAAATAACATCACCAAACATGCACAGTCTAAACCATCCTAATCCCTCACCCCCTTAAACCCTTCCTCCTACAACCCATTCCTCCTACCTTCAAATTCCGATCTTTCAGTCCCAAAAAACATAAGCGCAGTATATAAAAATACCAGATTACTGAAGGAATAAACAATTCAATATTATGATTTTAGAGTCACTAAAATAAATCTAAAAAATTGAAGAAGCTTATAGAACAGTGTTAAACATCTAAATGCCTCAAGAATTTGCATGCTGAGGCAAGAAATTTACTTCACCTTTGAAGGGGGTCAATGGTGATTTTAAAAGAACATATCTATCTAAAATAATGCTGTCACTCCTAGCTATATTAAAATTACCATTGACCCCTTCAAGGGTTGAAGCTAATCTCTTGGCTCAGAATGCAGATTCTTGAGGCATTTAGTAGTTCAAAGCTATTTTACAAACACTGTTGACATAATCTGACAACAAATTCTACAAGCTTCAAACCACCCATAAAATTTCGTGAATTATTTCAACTCGATCCCACATCTTTCCCAAACTCACCATCCTCCTACAATTTTTCTTCATTCTAATTTACTTCTAATCCACTCAGACTCATTTTACCTGCCATGAGTAAACTTTTAGCATCAGGTCAAAGTTCTAAAACCACTTAGCAATAAGCAGGGGGTGATAAGTCTGAGGGCAAGGATAGTCTCTTAGCCTCTTGATGGATAATAATTTAGAAGAGGTAATGGATAGTAATAAGTAGTAATTATTTTAGTTGTAATAAACTTTTTTCTATATTTTTAAGGGGTGTCGGGGTTTTGGGGTTTTGGGGTTTTGGGG